TTTTTTTATATTCTATTTTTTATTACCACAAGTAAAAATTCCATATTAATAATACAAGAATTACTATTATTTTAAAGGCAACTTCCTGTATAAAATGTGACTATTTTTTACTAACATTAAACTAAAATCTTTAACAAAGTAATTATCAAAAACATAAACCTTACTTATAGGTTAATATTAACAAGATCACGTCATAAATTCCTTGAAAACTAGTTTCTTTCTACGAACACCAAATTCTTCTCATAAAGCTAATATTTTTTATTATCTATTTAGTTTAATTACAGTCCGGAATGACATATTTTCATGATTTATATAATTCAAAGTAGCTTACATTATTTATTTTAAAATTTTTAACACATTACAAAAATGACATGATTGATTTATAATTCAAACTGCCGCTTTTTATCTCCCCTCTCTACATATGGGACATATGGAACACTAGCGCCCTCTTATTTTTGTACGATTTTTGTTTACATGGAGTTCGGGCTCCTTGTATAGCCTCCATGGTCACATGGTTACAACATTATATATTTTGTGGTTACAACAGTTCTGTGATCACGTATGCATGTAGGCCCAGGCTAATGGCTTGTTTACACGGGAACAGTCGACTAAATTTTAACTAAATTTCAAGTCACTTGAACCTATTTGAACAGCGCATATGTGGTAAGTAACAAGTTATGGAGCAAGTAAAAATTTAGTACACTGGAATAGAATTTATTCTATTTTTTCGTGCAAGTTGACGATTTGCACCGAACTTTTCCCTCCTGCTGATCCACTTTCACTCCCAAAGTCGTTTAGGTCTATTTTTCTCTTCATATATTTCTTCATTTATTTCTTCTAATATAATATTTAGGATATCGCGTAGTATGCCTTTAAATTCTTCTACAAACTGCTGACTCACGTTCATCTCGTCAGGTTTGCAAATATATAAACTGTACTAGAACTTACCAACAACTAAACTTAGAACTTACCAGTGCGAACAGCACTTGCAGAAAAAGCAGTAACTTAAAATTTAGTTACCACTTACCTACTGTCCCCGTGTAAACAAGCCTTTAGAGACGAAAAACATTTTCATCGTTGATTGAAATATTCTTTTTATTTCATTCAACGATTTTCATAAAAATGTTTAATACAAGGGGATTACAAAATTTAACTCGTGGTGACCTAAATATATAATTTTCTCTCCAAAACCATAAGTATAACGACAAATATTGTGATTCGAGCACCCGCGGAATGAATTTTCGTAAATCCCTACAGTGTGCTTATTGTTGAAGTTGCTTGCCTAGATAAATGATACTATAGATAGGAAACTTGAACAGATTTCGTGGTCATTAACAGCGCTAACTGTTGACACTTTCTCCAACTNCACATACTATAACATACATCACTCGCGAAAAAAACTTATGTAAGTCATGTATGCGTTTTGACCCTAACGCCTAACGTAGTATTGAAAGTTGCATTAGTTAAACCCCATTCACAATCAATTCGCTGGCGAAGTCTGACTTGGCACGCGTGCTTACCTTTCGCATTTCAATGTAGCCGTTCAGAATAAAATCTCGAGCTGGCAAACGAGTTGAAGTGCGCGTGAAACCTCGCAAGCATACCACATTCCTCGGCCACTGCCGAACGTCATTTTCAACAACATAAACTAGTTAAATCTAATATAAGAAGTTCCTTAGATGTAGATACCTGCGAGTCTATATTGGAGGCAAAAAGCCTCTTAGGAAATGCTAATTGTTTTACCTGGGAACCGTCGAAAGCACTTTTGAATAATAAGTTTGTTTCTTTGTCATAATTTTTTTATCAGAGTTCGGAGTGTGATTAGTAACCAATTTAGATCAAAATAGAGTATGACAAATAAACAAACATATATACTGACTACTACCTAACTTAAACTTGTATTTATTTGTGAATAAATTAAACAATAATAAAGAAATATGTAATTTTCTTTCTGTTACAATTAGTTTAAAACAAATTGANAAAAAACAATTAGTGTAAGTGAAATCACGGAAGCCTTCAAAACAGAGGTACAATAGCAGTGTAATTCTGAGAACTCCGATAATAGTTCAGAATCTGGAAATGAAAATGTATGTATAAAAAAGCGCAAATATAATCAGAAATTCCGCAAGGATTGGTTACAAAAATTTCCTTGGATGAAAAATAGAGATGGTTCACCATTTTGTGAGTGGTGCAATGTCCAAATAGTGTGTAATTATACACACATAATGAGACATCAGAATTCAAAACGACATGAAAGAAAAACCACAGGCACACCAGTTAATAAAAAAATTACAGATTTTGTAGATAAAAAAAATTAATCATGATAGGGCAGTAAGATCTGGGGAACTGAAATTAGTAATGTTCTTGCATGAACATAATTTAGCCTTTCTATTAATGGATCTCTTGTCAAAATTAATAAAATCAATATGTACAGACTCAGATGAAGCAAAAGATTTGAAATGTGGTCGAACAAAAGCCACAACACTAACGAAGAAAGAACTTGCATTTGAAAGCGTAAGAAATTTGAGAGAAAAATTATCTGTTTCTAAATTCTATTCATTAATTGTTGACGAGACTACTGATGTCAGCACACAAAAATGTTTAGTCATCGTGATTCGTTTTTTTTATGGTTTTGTATCAACAGTTTGCAAATATCAAACCACTACAAATTTTAAAACCCTCCCAGACAAGGTGGCTTTCTCTACAGGTATTATGTTATATCTATATTTTGAATTAATTAAAAATGCTGAAATCTTTTAGGCTGTGGTAGACAGAATTCTGCATAACTGGAATGCACTAATATTATACTTCACTAATGCTGTCACAGAAGGCGAATTTCGAAATACGATTAATATTCTGGAAAAACTAAGGAATGTAATTTTCAAAGCATATTTTTTCTTTTTATCTTACATATTGAAAATTGTAAACGATATGAATTTAGAATTTCAGTCTGAGTCGTTTGAAGGACATGTTTTAATTTCTAGAATTAGTGCTTCATTTAAATTAATTTTGCAAAATTTTATGAAAAAAAATTACTTAGTATCACTCCTCTTCACAAAATCAATGTTGAAAATCCTCATAACTATTTGCAACTAGAAGAATGATATTGTGGTGCGCAAGTTGAATTACTTTTTGCTAAAGAGACTATTACACCCAGTGAAATTGAAAAATTTAGGATAAATATTTTAAAATATTACATCGAGTTATCGTTACAAATAATGCAGAGAGTGGACTTCGATGATCCCCTCCTGTTCATGTTGAACGAATTTTCACCAGAGAAAGCAGGCAATACGCGTTCAATAGTGAAAATTGTTAACTACCTACCTGAAGAAACACAAATAAATATAGATGTTGAGTGCTTGAATACAGAGTGGGGATCATTAGCCTATAATAATGATGCTAATGAAAGAAGAAATATTTCTTTTGAAGAATTTTGGGGATTTATTTTTAAATGCAAAAATAATTTAAATGAGCCGCAGTATCCTAATTTAACGATAATTTTACAATGTTTAATGTGCATACCACATTCCTCGGCCACTGCCGAACGTCATTTTTCACAACATAAACTAGTTAAATCTAATATAAGAAGTTCCTTAGATGTAGATACCTGCGAGTCTATATTGGAGGCAAAAAGCCTCTTACGAAATGCTAATTGTTTTACCTGGGAACCGTCGAAAGCACTTTTGAATAATAAGTTTGTTTCTTTGTCATAATTTTTTTATCAGAGTTCGGAGTGTGATTAGTAACCAATTTAGATCAAAATAGAGTATGACAAAAAAACAAACCTATATACTGACTACTACCTAACTTAAACTTGTATTTATTTGTGAATAAATTAAACAATAATAAAGAAATATGTAATTTTCTTTCTGTTACAATTAGTTTAAAAAAAATTGACTTCAGCACGTCGCTTCACGCGCTTTTTTAAATATAGTTTTCGCGCACTTTTTTAAATCTACCCTTTCCCTTGAATCTGCTATTTTATGATTGGATCTACTACTCATGAGAAATTTCAAATGGCAGCCCTGGATACTTTTGTTGAAATCGCTAGACACTTCCATTTTTAATATAGTGTCTGCAACTTCTCTGGATGAATATAAACCATTTATTTAGAATATTTAGATGTTTACCTTGGTATAATTTTTTTCTTTAATAAGTTATGCGTCTTCAAAAAAATTGAAATGGAGAACTTTTTTAAAGACCAGTAACATGAAGATTTTTTTTTTATTTTTAGGATGCAATTTTCCTTTTGTCGACTTATGAAAATAATAGAATGGGAATATTAGTAAAATGAAATGAATATAAATATAACTTATACTTTTATTTTGATTTACGAAGCTTACATAAAAAACATTTTTGGGCTATATCATATCTTTCAATAAGTGAAGGTAACTTAGACAACTAGAACACACCTTTGAACAAAGTACAACACGAATTGTTAACCGAATAAAATAAAGATTTATCTAAATAACTATATTCACTTCAAAGAAATAATAAAAATATTATCTGGATTTGACGGCTAAATATAAATATACATTGAAAAAATCACATGACTTTATAAGTTCATTACATAAATTACTCATCAGTGATGACAGTGGTACGAAATATTTCCGATAGATATATTTAAACAATGTTCTAATAGTGCATTTAAAACAAATTAACGTAACGTTTCGGAAGATATTAGATCATTAATTTATGTAACAAATTCTTTGTGGCCACTTCCATTTAGTTACATGGGTTTAAATTGTTTACACGTAAACCCTTATTTGTATGACTTTACGTCTAGCAGCAACCAGAGCCTTGAGATCCTCCAGCTCCTCCGGCACCTGGTAAAGAGGGATTTGTGGGTGAATGCTGGGGACCTATCTTGATACCATTGGCCTGAAGAAGTAAATTATAAATAGCGATATCAATAATATTCTAATGTATAAAACATTTTTACCAAAAAATTCCCCGATATTGTCAGGTTTCCCTGGTAGAATTGATAACTTTGGGGTAAAAAGGAAATAAAACAAAAATATACAGTTATCCACAACATCAAAATGAGAAATAGTGGGGCATGCAATGTGATTATATTTCAACTATTCATCAAAAGATGTCAGGAAATGTTTCAAAAGATATACGAAGAACTTGCCGCTACTTTTACCACTACTTTTACCACACATTCCTCAAATCAAATATAAATATGAAGAAACGGGCTTTAACAATTTTATTCAACTGTCAATGGATGAAGCGATACGGTAGATCTGGAAGAATTTGAGGTGAGAGTCAATGACAACCGTAGGCCTTAATGTTATTTCAATGTTATTTGAATTTACTGGTACTATAATTTTTTTCTAAAAACACTTCATTATTTATATGAATATGTATTTGATACATTGAAAATAAACTTTATTTATAACTAGGTACTTAAAACTTTGCTAATGTGGCCAAATTCCTTTTTATCCAAAGGTCTTCAATTGAAAAATTTTCTCATCATGTTGAAAAAATGTAAGTTCTATACTTTTCAATTTCCATTTTTGCACTACCACCATTTTTCAAACTTTCTACAATATCCTCACTTAAATTAGAAAGTTAGTTATACAGCGACGGTCAAGAAGTTTACATCAAATGGGACAATTTAAATTAGAATTTTTTTTAATAAACGCAGATCCTTATTTACAAGGAGAAGGCAAGGTAATCGGATTTTTGTAATTTTTGATATTACGGCACGAGCCAGAATCGTACAGTTATCATAGAAATATGGGAAGCAGAAATTTTTTAAGCATCTAGCACACCGTATAAATGTTACGTTTTTACAGGCGCATTTTGTTTTCAAAATATCGACATTTAAGCAAACTTCGTTAACATTTTGAAAGGTTGTGTCACACTGCGTCAAATACTAATTGTAAATATAAAATAAAAGAACATCCTACCTGACCTCATTTGTTTTTTTTTTTTAAAGAAGCCTTATTGTTAATTCATAATAAATATTGTGAAGTTTAATGAAATATTTGAAGAATATTCCTACATATATATATTTCATTTGTTCATAATTTTCGAGATGAGAAAAAGAATAAAAAAAAAACATATGGTGCGTTTTGAAAGGGAAAAAAAATGTCATGTGACGAGACTCGAACCAGCGATCTTGTGACTATCGGAACCGAACGCTACCAACTAGGCCGCGCTTCCAGTTGAAAAATGTGTCGCATCTGGTGGTAGTGGATTTAGCTGGCAGGTTAAACTTCAAAATCGATTATCTTGGTAATTTATGAATGCTGCTTCGAACTACTTCGGAAAATTCCTATTCAAGGTCCAACCTACACTTACCATAATATCAAAAATTACAAAAACCCGATTACCTTACATTCTCCTTGTTAGTCTGACATCCAAACTCTGGAACTGCCTCGAGCTCTATATTAATTTCCATTTTTCAATGACCACCATTTAAAACTTGTCAGTATCTTTTAGATAAATTATTTAGAAAATGTTACACAGACAGGCAAAAAGTTTGGACGGAATGGAAAAACAATTTACTTTAATTTTTTTTTTAATTAACACAGATTCTTATTTACTGTGATAATCAAACATTGGAAGTGCTTCCGTTGGAAATAAAGAACCAGAAATCCTATGGAGAAATTTTTACTTCTAATGCCAACATTGACGTGCTTGACATAGTAACTATGTAACTTGGTGAAACTAGAATATGTCTCATCAGAGCCTTATAGCAATACAAAAACAGCAATTTGAAGCTCAAATAAACTATGAACAAAAAGTAACATGTCAATATATCCTGCAATTAAGTAGATGTCAAATCGAGTAGGTTCAGGCTTGCTAACAAGTTATAACCTGAGGAAACATTTACATTGATGAATCCATGGTACACTATGCAATAAAGGAGGATGAAATGGCATGCCATATAATCTTTGATAAATGTATAAACCACCTTAAAATTCATTGACAGTTGAATGACCAGTGACTAATTTTCATCATTAGGTACAAGTCATCAGGAGCTAGATTCTTGACGGTGAGAGAATAGAATGCTCCCTGGGGAACGTTCCCTCATTTCGCTCTACTACTGTTCTATCAGAAAATTCATACTGTATTCTCGACACAACTGGATCGAACCTTGAAAGAGAAGAACAAGGAACAATGTTGTCATATGTACCGACCAATCAGAAAGCAGTAAATAGGTGGTAGAATGAAAACTAGTGATGAGCTAGTCATGAAATAAGTACTAATTTATTTAGAGTTATTGTTATTTGTCTGTCAGTGTCAAGTGAGATATAAAAAGGAAAGAAAATGGAAATTAATAAAAAACCGAAGCTAAATTGAGTAAGTTCTAGACAAAAAGAACTTCTAATAGAATATATTGAGGGTAAAAAATCAAATGTATATGAAAGTTAACATCCAGCTACACTAAAGAGAAAATGAGAGCTAACTGGGAAGAACTTACAAATATTTTAATACTATATTAGGCAGATCCATTTTATTTTATTATTTTATTCGTGTACTGCACAAATTATACGAACGTTTCCTCAAATTTCTCGAAGGATATCACCACAAAACAGTAACTAGAGATATTACAGACAGATTGAGGAATTCGTAATTTGTGAAACATGTCAAAAAATATATGGTTAGGTTTAATGATCCCTGCCTGTTCCCCAGAAAATATCAGTAGAAGAAATAGGGAACAATTCTTCTATCATTACTCAATAGAACACCATTCAAGAATACCGATCCGATTAAAGAGTTTTAATAGACACGCCCCCTTTCTGTCGTTCCTTCTACTCCCTATAATTCAAGAATAAAGTCCCAGTTATACGATCCCAATGACAGTAATTCACTATTTCACATTTAACAATCATAAATACTCTTTTTAACTAATAACCAGAGAGCGGACAATTGTGACTTTAACCTTGAACATAGATATGTCATTCATAAACCTAGATACATTACCCATGACGCAGTGGCGTGTCGGGTATGCATCGGAAATTTACGTGGTAATTCACGAAAATTCCATGGTACATACATTTTTAGGTGTTATAAAATATTTAGAAAATCAGAAATTGTATACTACATATTTATTAAATAAAGTTCGGTTAAAAATAGTGTCGTTCTTTTAATTGGAAATTAGGAGTCAATGTAACGAATATCCTCAGGCGACGCACATGATAGAATAGTCCAACTCACGCTCCATTCATAACAGGGCTGCAGTTTGAATTCTGACCAATAGGAATTCGATAAACGCAACCGATGTCGACGGAAAGACTAGAGATGGGCGCGAGTGTCATTTCATTTCTTTAGAAATAAATTAATTTAATTATTTTCTCGCTATTTAACCTGTTCACATGATTTATGGATTTTAAATAAAGGGTACAAATCTTCGCGAGGATAATACGATATATTTGCTATACATAATAATTATATTTTGCATAGTTTATACACAATACATTTTTGAACGCGTACACACCTCTACCAAAATTTGACCTATTCTTTGGGTTAAAGTCACACATTGTCCGCTCTCTACTAATAACATTGTGAGAAACAACTACTCTGCAATGTACATGTCCTGTTGAGCATACCAATGAATGATTTAGCATTTAGCTATTTCCATGTCAATCTATCATATTCAACAATCAAAACAACTGTTAAGAATATGTGTGTGTAAGTAATCTACACCCATGCCATATTACAAATATGCCCCACATCAAGAAGATGTGTGAGGGAGGAAGAGAAATCTTACCCATATGTAAGACAAAATACACAATGTATCTTTGAAATTTCATGTAACTAAATACTTCGTATTTAGGGGAATCAATGGAATTGTTTTCTTAGTTGTAACAAAATAATCAAAATATGACTACTTCAATTTCCACCAACCACCACTGGTACACATCCTGTTGAAATTATAGCCCATTTTATTACACAAACGAAAATTCCACAAGGTTCTTAAAATTAATGGCGTTTCACATATCACAGAACACCGAGTTTATTTTTACAGGTCGTTTTATTTTTGTGAAACTACGCCAATATAGGTTTGGATTTTGAGTTATTTAGAACACCACAAAACTCGTGCTTTCTATAATATTTCCACCTAAACCATTTTAATACGAAGGTTGATTCGAAAGTAAGGTTCCCAAAGTGGTAGATCCGAGAAGGTATTAGGCAAAATTTGGCAACACTGCCATATGCAGCAGCTCACCCTCTCTTGATCCCAATATTCCCCGCTTGTCTCTGCCGTTTAGTGTTGGCCTAGCAGTCGTCCGCGATGGAAGTCCCCGTTAGCTGCTACTGCCAAGTGTGAAATCCGTGCAGTTATACGGTTTTTAAACGCAAAAGAAGTTCCATCTATTTCACATTCATGGTCAGTTGTGCCAAGTTTATGGTGAAAAGTGCATATCTGTGCAACACGTTCGCAAGTGGTGTAGGGAGTTCACTGCTGGTCATATGGATATTCATGATGAAGACCGGAGCGAAAGACTGTCCATTTCAGACGAGACTGCCGAAAAGGTCGAGAGACTACTGCTCGAGGATCGGGTTCCTCAGATTTCCGCTAGCTCAGTTCAGAGAATTTTGTCTGAAAAATTGGGGTATCACAGGGTGTGCGCGCGGTGAGTCCCACGAATGCTTACAGAAGACCACAAACGGCATCGTGTCGATTGTGCCCGCCAATTTCGTCAACAATGTCGAGACAAGAGAGAGGAATTGTTGGACTCAATTGTTACGGGTGACAAAACGTGGGTGTTACATTTCACACCCGAAACAAAACAACAATTACGTGAATGGCGCCACTCATCTTCGCCTAAGCCAAAAAAGTTTAAACAAACACAATCTGCTGGAAAAGTGATGGTTACGGTGCTTTGGAACCGTAAAGAGATTTTGTTGATTCACTTTATGCCTCCTGAAACAATGATAAACTCAGACCGGTTTTGTGACACTCTAACGAAACTCAAACGGGCCGATCCAAAACCGTCGGAGAGGAAAACTGGCCACAGAAGTCATGCTTCTTCACGATAACGCTCAACCCCACGTCTCTCGTCAAACTCATAACCTACTGAAAAGATTTGGTTGGACTGTCATTCCCCACCCCCCTATAGTCCGGACCTAGCCCCTAGTGATTATCACTTGTTCCTGAAATTGAAGGAACACTTGGGTAGACTTCGCTTCCGGACCAACGATGAAGTCAAAGAAGAGGTTACTCGCTTCCTTAACAGATTGGCGGCGGAGTTCTGCGACATGGGGATACAAAAGTTGGAGCACCGTGTCCAAAAATGCTTGGATAGAAATGGAGATTATGTTGAAAAATAGCTAATTGTTTAAGCTTTACAACCAAGTAAATTGTTATGAAAATAAACAATGTTTTTTATTTATAAAAAATAAAGGAACCTTACTTTTGGGTTAACCCCCGTATCAACATGTATAATAGGAGAAAATTAGGAATATTTACCTCATTATTTATGTCGAAAACACCTTCTTGAATCTTTTCATAAATTTCTTTTGCTGTATTAATGAACGCTTCTTCAACATTCGCAGCAGTTTTAGCTGACGTCTCCATAAACACTAAACCATGTTCACGGGCAAAAGCTTCACCCTCTTCTTTTTTAACTTCCCGTCTGCTCTCTAGATCACTACAAAATAGTACTAATATTGCCACTATTTTTAAAACAAAATTGAGAAATTTGTAATATAAGAATTAAGAATGATAAAACGTATCAATGGAACAGCTGTCTTAATTTTGTTCACGATTCTTTTTTGCAACAAATTAATTCAAATTTAAACCGGATAAATTCCATTATAAAAAGAATAGACTTCTGCAGATTCTCCTATGATAGGAATTAGTACAAATAACAATTTATTTTTCGATTGGAATACAACTATTACAATGAAAGTCGAACCTTTTATTTCCAATGAGCATGATGACCATATTTGAATTGGAATGTTGTCTAGCGTCATCTAACCAAGTTGTGAGATGATTAAAGGTTTCTCTTCGGGTGATATCATAGACTAATAGAGCACCAGCAGCACCTCTATAGTATGACCTTGTAATTGATCGGAAAGCTTCTTGGCCAGCTGTATCCCATATTTGTAACTTAATTTGTTTACTGTCAATTGTTATCATTCGAGCACCAAATTCTACACCTATTGTCAAGTCATGCACAGGTTGAAATCGCTTATCTGTGAATTGGAGTAAAAGGCAAGATTTCCCAACACCTGCAAGTGTAAGTAATGCACTGATGAAATTAACATGTCTGTTTTCTATTGAACTATGTTTATTTAATAATTATTAAATTAATTAATTATATTTACTAATTATTAATGATAACAATAAATGTTATTGACTTTCCAACTTAATTCTTTGTTATCTTTGAAATAGGATTTATTGGAAACTCATTTGAATAATTTATTTATAATTTCCTTCCACTTACCAGTATCTCCAATGATTATATATTTAAACAAATATGCGTAAGACATTCTGAATTACTATAAATTGTATATTTTTGTATATTAATAATCACAAATAATCTACTTCGTAAATTAATGACAGTTGTCTCTGTTGTGTCATTACGCGATTGCGCATAAATGTCTAGCCAAACGCCTTCACAGTGGTCGATAAATAAACAGTTTGCTTACTGAAACGAACGACGTGCCCTCTGGTGATGATTTATTAAAATATCAACAGGGTTAGTTATGTTGATTCAAAATTCAAATTATCTCAGCAGAGACAACCCAGGGATTGTCTCTAATCTCGGTCAACGTAACACTCTTGTGCAACGTAAGTATACATATAACTCTGTAGTCTTTCTGGATGTCCAAGACTGGAGATACAACTCCAAGTGGAGGTAACGATTCGTTATCTGCAGTCTTTCTGTATGACTTGATAATACTGTCAATTAATTTGAACTGTCCTAGAGCCATTCTCTGTTGAACCCATGAGGATAGTCTCCCTGGTTGAACCTAAAACAGTAGTATTGTTTCGACGGATTCCTCAGTCATTACGGGTTTTATTTCCCTGAGAACTCAGCTAATCTCAACACAACTTTTTTCAATATTAATTCATCTAGTGGAGATTAACTGAGATTCCACCAAATTATGTCTAATAACTGTATTTACTTACCTGGAGAATCAGTAACCTAAATGGTGAAGATCCCATCCAACGTCAGATATTTTGATTGATGATTGGTTAATTAGTTGAGATTTACTGAGATCTGAGTTGTTTTAAATGCTGGTTGGTCAGTTATTAGGTCCGATGAACTCATATCCATTTTAATTACTGAGATTTCAGATAAATAAAACGCGGCTACATGACAGAGTGACGAAGAAAATAGTTTAGTTTCTATAACAGTGGAACCTAATTAGTGTTACTGTTGATATAAGTAGCAATAAATAAATTCTTGACTTCTCTGGATTTCAGTAAAATAGCCAAAGTTTGTATATACACTTCTAAATGGAAATAATGATGTAGAAAGTGTAAGGGCAAGAGTAAGTGTGGTGAAGAATTAAATTGTGTATTATTTAGATTATTATTATTAATAAAATATCTCTAATCTACAGAGGGACGTAATTGATAAAATAATTAATTTGAATTCTAAATATCGTTATCCTTATCCTTTGGTATTGAAGATAATTAAGTATACTTGTAAATCTCCATTACGTGACGAAAACGCAGACGACAATTGTTAGTCCATACCCCGAACCACAGTATAGAGTATACTAATAAACTAATTTTACTCAACACCAATATGATTAGTATACTGTGCACGGGACATACCTATACTCTACAGTTATTTCTACCATGGGTTGTGGGAATATACCTTTAGCTGCTAAGATAAAGTGACAGTTGGTGAAACTGGAAACTGTAAGTTACGATTTTGAATTCTTTGAATGCAGAAAGCAAATAACAATTAATACAAATATGACATAGATGTGTTATTTACAAGTGAAAATATGCTTTTAGTTAATTAATAGTCATTACAGGATTATAAAATATTTAAACAACAATTTAAAAAATGACTGGTAAAGACCATTCAGGAGCATCGCGAAGTTTGGTAAGTATATTCAAAAATGTTATTCATAATAACAAAAAGAAAATATAAATATTATTTGTACTGTATGTAGTCAAAAATAATTTTTTAAGTAGTTTGCCAGATACGGACATGACTGCACTTTAGAAAATATCTCGGATACATATGATTGGGAAGAAGTACCAGGAACATCTCTTTGGTCTAAGTTTAAAAGGTGGATAATTCGAATGATAGTTGTATCAGAAGCAAGTAAATTTTACACACACCACCTAAGAAGCTTTGGTGCCATTACAAAAGAAAGAAAAAGGCAACTTCGACACCATAAGTTTAGAATTCATCCATTCTGCACAGCAAGGTAGTGGTATCTATATTATCATAATCAATCCCATTTCATAATATATTATACTTTTAGAATAGTATGGGCTATTGTAATGGTAATAGTAATATTTCTTGAGCTGATTGCATCACCATTTAAGTTCCTTTTATGTGATAATTTGGAATCGTTTGTTTATACAAAAGAATGGTTAACATTTAGAATGATAATGGACACTTTTCTATTATTAAATATAGTTATAAATTGCTTAACAGGATACTATGATGAACCAATGCAAGAAGTAGTATTGGACTTCAAGAAAATACTTTTGTAAGTCGCCATTGGTAAATACAAATAAGCATGTTTTTATGTGAACGAGCATCAATGCTATCAGATAATCTTGAAGCTAAAATATGACAATTAGGCCAATTGTATCTTGATAAAAGTTGCTTCATTTGCAAGGTCTGAATGTTTATGTTCATATTAATGAAAACCTTTGCATATAAGTACCTATCAGCGAAACCAATGAATTAATTGTCTTGAAATATATATAACCCTCTATCAGCATACAAATTTTTGCCTCGATACATAATAGATGGTTGAATCATAGCTTTAATTTAGCAAAAAAGTTTTTAACTTTCTCTAAGAAAATCTAGTTACTGCAGTGGACCATGGAGTAAGTTTAAATTAAAGAATTCGGTAAGAAATTGTTATTAAATTTTATAATAAACTACAATAACAAAATTTATTTTCATTTACATCTTTTTTCTGTTTGTGATTTTAGTGAATGGCATATTTTTTATTTTGAAAAGTTAGCATTTGTGCCCTGTAATTTAAAAACACTATATTTATTTAAGTTTATTTTTATTGATGTTTTAACAAAAGTATTATTTTTACTATTTTAGGCATTACTCTAGGACAACGTTAATTGTGGATGTATTATGCGCAATTCCTGTGAACTGGGCTATATTTTTTTCTTTGGGACAAGACGTTAGTGTACATATTTATTTCACATGGTTATTAATCTTTAGATTTTTTCTTCTTATAGTTTTTTCCAAGTATTTCAAAACCATAGCTGATGTAAGTATGTTTCTTTAATAATTTAACGAATTCATTTAAATATGATCCTTTTCCAGTATTTTAACATAAATCATTACACCTATATGACATCAATGGTGTTTTTCTACACATTTATATTCTGGCATGTGATGTGCTGTCTTATAACTTTTGTAAAATTCCACCTAGGGGAAGATAATCAACTGTTTAGTGGAGTATTTTTGGAACCTTATCAATACAGCAGGTAATTTGGATTCAGTACCTTATTTTTCCATTTTTTCAAAATATTTTATGTAACTACAATATAATCGTTAAACGTATATTGGCTTTTTTTTTAGTAAGTCAAATAAAAGTAACGTTTGGGAAATATATTTTGAGGCTATTCATCGTAAGTCACTTATATTGTACAATTCTGGATTTGGAAAAGATTTGCCAACAAATGAGTACCAAATAGTTTTGATATATTGTGTATGGTATGGCTCTAGCTTGTTTTGTATTTTTATTTTGGGTAATTAAAACTGAATTATATGAAAAATATATGTTACAATTTGCTGTATTACATTTAAGCAATGATAATGGAAATTAATAGGGGCAGAACATCTTCGGCTCATAAATATGATGAAATGGAAAAGCAATTGAAGGAATACATGCAACACAAACAGTTACCGGCTCAAATGAAAAGTAAAATTTTGACGTACTACGAGTTCAAGTATCAGAAGAGGTACTTTAGAGAAAATGAGATTTTGGCAACGATATCAGAACAATTAAGACAAGTAAGTACATGTCTTTCTACCCCTCGATGTAATTTCAGAGCTAGAAATTTTAAATACACAACACAAAAATGATGCTTTCCAGAACCTAATATACAGGGTGTTTTTAAATGAAGTAGCAAAAATGGTACTAGTGAATGTAGAGCCAAAAATAAAAGGATTGAAGCAAAAATACCTTATATGAAAGTTGCACCCTTGAGGCAATATACCCTCTTAAAGGAGGGGATTGAAATCACATTTTATTTTTTATCTTTAACATGGGGAATTCTAGAGGCACGAAACTTGGTATGAGCATCCTACTAATAAAGAGATAACTTTTCCATATTTTTTCAATCATTGTCATATTTTATAAAGGAGTGAAACAGTCAACCCCATTGCAATATTTTATTAGAAATTTTTTATATGAAGCAAATTATTTATTTAAAAATATTTATTGGGAAGACTGATTTATTGCGCAAGTTTATTACCTCTTGTAATTTTTCGATAAAACCGATAGTTTTCTAGTAAAAAAATTAGATGTGTTATCGTTCGCTAAAGGGATATTTGCGAAAATTTGTAAAAATAAAGTAAGCGAATGTCGTAACAAATAAATTGTTATTTAGCATATTAATAAATTGACACGTTCTGTCAATAAGCTGCTAATTTAATAATAACATTAAGAATAATTTGCTATTAATTAATGAAAAAAGTAGTTATTTATCTGAAATAAAATTTAATACAAATGAAAAATAAGAAATGCAAAATTAAATTTCGTTCAAAATTTTAATATGTCTGTTGAAGTTATAACGTACTCCCACAAACAGATCTTGGTTATTGCGAGTCATCTGCTGCCTGAAATATTCTTAAGCGTAGTTCTTCTAAGGAGGCAACAGGAGTTGCATAAACAATACTTTTTATGTCCCCACAAAAATAAATCCATAGGCATTAGGTCAGGAGAACGTGCAGGTCAGCGAACAGGGGTATTACGAACACGACCAATTCAGCAATTCGGGGTAATTTAAATTTAACCATTTCCTAACGGCAAGTGTACTATGTTCAGGCACCACATCACCTGACGTGTAGCGAGAGCTACATCCTCAAGTAATGTTGGAAGATTTTTGTTAAAAAATCTAAGATACTCAGCCGCTCCAAGCCTGTGTGGAAGAATAAAAGGACCTACTAGACTCTGTGGTCGAAATTATAGAGAGTGACTCAGACATAATATAAAAACACTATTACCATAATGTGTATAAAATTATTTTTATAACAGTTCATTATTTATCTTTGTGCCGCTCACTACGTACGTCGGTAGAATCTGTAATCGTCTATAGATTGAGTTACACTAGACGTCGATCTGTATTCTATCTCTGTCTTCTGCACTTGGTAGGGAAGAGGGAAATGCTTTTTTTAGTGGGTGTAAACGGACTTGATTTACCCGTCCTGAGAAACGTCATAACATAAGCGTAGATGAGGGGTCTAATTCCGAGGCTATAATAAATTTATAAATTTTAAAACACAACTGGGGCATTTTAAAATGCTGTAATAATTAAAATGGATTAAGGTTCCGGTTATAGCAAACCGTAAAAAAAGTTATGTATGTGTTTTAAAGTTATCCACATTAAACATCTTTTTTCAATATTTTCTATATCTTGTTGCCTTTTACGCAGACACGCCAATGGATTTTCGTTCCCGGCACGCTTCATCCCCCTTACTAGTCCAAAAGTTAGCGATGAGTCACTCTCTATAAATTCAACCGCGGAGTATAGAGTATTTCCTACAATTCCCACCCAAACATTTGAACTGAAATTATGTTGACATCTTGAAACAAATACTTATTTCATGAGTATTTTCTTCTGACCATGAATGATTTTATTAAAGTTTACTGCACCTATTCTAGGAAAATTTATTTCATCGGTGAAAAGTATATTCATTAGGAAATTTAAGTCATGCCTGGAAATATTAATGTGTACCATTGAAAAAAATCCACACGGTTGGGTAAATCAAGGTCATTCAATTCTTGCACGGGTTAATGGTGAAAAGGGTATAAAAAATTTTCATGCACTACATTCCACACAAGACTGTGAGAAATTTGCAGTAGCCTGGACACCTGTCTTGTGCTTGTACCACAGTCTTGTTCTAGATGTTCCAGTATAGCTGCCTCAGTTTCAACAGTTCGGACATTACGCCTTCTTCTGGCACCCTCACGATTGGGCTGAATTTTGCCAGTTTCGTGAAGCCTTCTTTCCACCAAGGCCAATGTTTGTCTCTGAGGAATCGGTCGGTTTGGATATCTTTGGTGGTATAATCTTACTGCAGCGTTACTATTTTTTCTGGATTCAAAAACACTTGGAGCATTCGTCATTTGTATATATATTATTTGCCATAATTATTCTGATAATAAATTAATCAATTAGTACTAATTATTGGTTGACAGAAAGTGTCAATTTATTAATATGATAAATAACATTTTATTTGTTATGACATCTGCCTACTTTATTTCTACAAATTTTTGCAATTACCCCTTTAGTGAACGATGACGCATCCCATTTTTTTACTAGAAAACTATAAGTTTTATCGAAAAATTACAAGAGGTAAAAAAGTTGCGCAATAAATCAGTCTTCGCAGCAAATATTTTTAAATAAATAATTTGCTTCATATAAAAAATTTCTAATAAAATATTGCAATGGGGTTGACTGTTTCACTCCTTTGTAAAGTATGCCAATGATCGAACAAATATTGAAAAGTTGTCTCATTATTAGTAGGATTCTCATACCAAGTTTCGTGTCTCTAGCATTCCTCGTGTTAAAGAAAAAAATTAAAATGTGAATTTCAATACCCTCTAAGAGGGTATATCGCCTTAGGGGTGCAGATTTCATATAAGGTATTTTTACTTTTGGTTCTACATTCACTGGTACCATTTTTGCTACTTCATTTAAAAACACCCTTTAACGTAGGAGTTAGTATATACAGGTTCGGAAAGTCCCCATGGTACATCGGCCGTTACGTGAGAGTGATATATTGAAGACGTTTCATAATCTGAATAGTCAGTCCCACTTCTAACCTGAAATGGGGGGGTGACTATTCAGATTATGAAACGTCTTCACTATAGCCATCCTTATCTATCGGAACGGATTTCTTTACTTTGTCACTCTCATGTGAAAGCAGATGGACTATGTGGATTTTCCAGCCCTGTATACTAATAGTCTTTCCGAAGTCAGTTGAATATGCAAAAAAACATTTGGTAATAAAATTTAATGAGTTTCATAGGCGTCCCTAAAAAAAATTTCTGCTAAAGGTAAAAAATTATAATAATTTGGATATAATGTGTAGAAAATTTCTATTATATGTTCATTTTTCAACAACATATTTTAATTATTTATGTCTTCAAACAATTTTATTATATTGGAAGTAAATTTCGTTTTGTTCCATTTCAAAAGGTCTCCAAAATGCCAAGTTTTGATATTAGTAAAGAAAATATACCTCTTATTTCTCCCTTTCGCAATTGTAATATGAATGATTGATAGAGGGTGCCTATAATAAATTAAAATTATCTGAATCACACCAAATTCCGCATTGCTGCACTGCACTGCTGGGCAATTTATAAACCTTGTCATCTGCTGTGAGTTATTGCCCAGTAGCCCAATCCAACTGTGGTCGTTTTCCTTTGCCCACGCTTGCATTCTTCAACTGAGCGTATACATTTCTATCACATCCACGTTTAGTTCGACCAGACCTGTTTATGGGTATGGCTAAATAAATATGGGAACAAGTTTTTCAAATATTTCAATGCCGAGTTGCTGTGTAGTGACCGAGCCTGGTACATAGGTACCCTTGAAGTTATTGGTTCTTCAATTGACTTCGAAAAAACTATAAAAGGTAGCGATTTTGCACTTAATCAGATTATTGACAATATCACTATATAAATTTCATATGAACTTCTACAGTTTGAAACTAAAAATAAGAACAATGAAATTTTGTTTATCGTTCACCATTATCATCGAAAGTTCCAGGTGTTATAACTAAACTTATCGCTATCAGAAAACACTTTCATAGAACCTTTAAAATATATCAACAAATAGTACAGATTGTTATTTTTACGAAAGCTATTTTTTTTTAATATGTATTATCTATTCAGTCCCTAGACTGACAAATGGCTTGTTTTGGTTCTGTCAGCGGACGGTCCTAGAACAGTTCAAAATAGTTACCCAAGTGTATTATCAGTATGTCTTGGCTTAGATGTTCTTATGAATAAAATGGTCAATTAATTTGAACCGTCGTAGAACCGTTCTCTGTCGGAACCAAAACAAAGCTAAAGTACCACAATCGTTCCCATTTTGCCCCAAAACGGTGGTTTGTAAAATGTCACTTTATGTTTGATGTTTCTAAACATTCCTCCGCATATTAACTATTACCTACCAATTTTATATTTAACTGCCATTACAGGGTGATTTCATTTTAAATACAGAAACGGCAGGAATAAATTCATTACCAAAAAATAAGTAGAGTTTGCTCTATAAACTTTTTTCCTGGGGGACGCAGTATTCCAGATACAGGGCGTTAAAGTTTACATAAAAATATATATTTTATGTCATATCTTCATAATGCGCTAACGAAATTTAATGAAATTTACTATAACGTATTCACCTTAATTAGAGCTTTTATTGAATGTAATATTAACCTCGTGACATTAACTGGTGGCACGCTACTGATGGTGCCACCCCATTTTGCCAAAAAAGAAATAAGCCACATGCATTTCTTTGTAGAAATATTGTTAATTTCAGGTACTGCTACATTAAATTAATGAAATATTCTTTTTTAATAGTAGCAGCCATTTACGAAATATTTGGGCATGTTTTTTATGTTTTATTGAATTTTTCTAATAATTAAAATATCATTAATATGATAAAATATTAATCTCGTGGTTTTAACCAGCGACGTGCTACTAAAGCGGCCGTTAACTTTTCCCAAGAAATAATACTCCACTGGCGATTTTTTTGTAGGAATAATTTTATTTCTGGAAAAAATATCACACGAAATAATAAAATAACATCAGCAAATAAGTCACGTAAGTAATTAAATAACAAGTCCTACAACAATTGTTCAAAATTAAGTCTTTCCACATTTAAGTGAATATGTTGTTAGTAAATTTTATTCAATTCCATCAGAGCATTACTGCAGAATTTTTTTTTTTATAAACTTTAACACTCTACCTCGAACAAACTACTTACTTTTGTCAATTAATCTATTTTTGCAGTTTCTTAAAGTGAAATCACCCTGTATATCAAAATACTATCAAAATTTAATCATCTGTACTATTTAAATTAAAATGCATGTATCAAATAAAAAAAACAACAATATTTAGTTTATATGTCAGGGACAGTAACAGGGAATTTGCCGGAAAATAGCAGGATATTGTACAACTTTATCAATAGCTAGGGACATTATTTGCTGTTAAATATTAATTTTTACTTACCACATTTACTTTACAGGAAATGAATCTTCATGCTTGCAGAAAACTAGTGGAAAATGTAATTTTTTTTCGTAATTTACCTTTAAATCTACTTGTAAGAATAATATCTTGTTTACGGATAGAAGTGTATTTGGTTAACGATATTATAATTCGTGCTAATACTCCAGGTGCAAGTATGTACTTTATTTCTACAGGGACTGTGGCTATCTATACCAAGTCAGGAAAAGAGGTAATTTTTTGTTTTGAGTATACAGTGTGTTAAAATGTTCCATTAACAAAATCTTGCAGGCGATTGCTTGACTTAAAATAATAAAAACAAGTTCTTATGAATGTAGGTCCACAAATGCTTTGTTAAGAAGATACAGCGGCATGTGTTGTACAACGGAATAATTCAGATGGCTAGAATTGTGACATGATTAAAAAAAGAAGGTATTTTTCCGCCAATTCTTAAAAAAATATTATGTATGAAACTGACAAAGTATCTTTTAAAAATATGTAAACTAAATAAGAATAACGATGAAATTAACTACTACGCTGTATCTCAAGCATTGATTGTGGTTCTAAACTTTTTTCTTATTTTTGGTCAAAGAATTTTGTTGGTAACAGACACCTGGGATCAAATTAAGATGATTTATGCTTTAAATTAATTTTTTCATAATGACTTGATTTTTAAGATATTAACAAATTTGACATGGACAGTATTTTTTATGCCCTTGCAACTGTGACAAGATAATGTAGATTTGTGCACTTCAAAAAACAAATGAAAAAAGGGGTTGCTGTGTCCCTTAGTCTCCCCAACTCTTTTGTAGGTATGTTTATCAAATCTTTTTTTAAAACTTTTCTAGTGCGTAATTTCTTTTCGATTATCTTTTACAAATTTTTCATTTATTGCAGTTTTCAATGCAAATAACACTTTTTAAAAGACATGAGCTGTGGGCCGCTTTACAGTCCATTGAATAGAGAGATAGACAGATAGAGAAGAGAGATAAAATAATCACAAACAAATTATGTACCTGAAAATTCAAAAATAAAATTTCAATAGGTACGCATACAAAAATGTTGAGAAGGACGAGGGGTGATGGCAATCCCATTTTTCAATTATTTTTGAAAGAGCAGAAATCTAAAATTCATACCCACTACAATGGAACAAATAACATCCCTATCAAAGAGTGACCGCAAAAATCGCCCGTTTTTTCACAATTCGCAGAGAACTAAAGAAAATAGATAAAAATGTGTTTTTGGTCTCAAATTACTCATCGTAAAAAGTTAAGATGAGCATAGCTTTCAGTTTTTTAAAAATTTTCAAAAATCAGCCCTATTTACGGGTTGAAAACTATGAAAAATCAATGTAACTATTAGCATGTGAATTTTTCTATCTAATGATTCTTGATACAAAGAAAAATTTATTCTCTTGACTTGAAATAAGCATGTTGAATTAAAAAATCCACCCTTAAGCGCGCTCAGGGGTAGAATCATCCTTTCAATGACCCCTTAGTGCCCTACAACTTTTGTCTGAAACTTTTTTCGAAATAATCGAGTTCAACTGAGATATTATTTTGTCTCAAGATAAATGCCCCACCATTAGAAACAAACAATTTTGCAAATTTTACTTTAACATCTTTTATCTTTTAAAGGAAGTATTCTCAGATATAGGTATGTTTGTTTTGATAATAGGAGTCTGCCGGCCTGCTTTTCTGTGACACTGTAGTTGTACAGATTAAAATATTATATACAGAGACCCACATAAAGTTTCCTTTCTGACTCGGACAGAGCGGGATTGAGAAAGAATGCATTTGGCCAGAAGGAATAAGACGTACGCGCGGCGTTTTGAGATAGAGGACTTATAGCTGTTTTACATTGACAATTTATTGATCAATTAATTCATGAAGTCGCTTCATCAAGAAATTGGACAAGTGTAATGCACCAAATCAGCTGTCAAATAACTTCATCAATTTATTCATCAAGTTCTTGACGAATTAGAGCATGTTCTAATTTTCGTCAATTTCTTCGTGAAGTTCAGAAGTACCAAAACCCAACAGATTTCCAGCCTCAGATCAGTAATGAGGTTATGTTATTGGAATATGTAAATAATTGTGTGGTGTTGTACTAGTTTTACATTGTTTTTACTGATTACTTACAAACACTAATATTTATATAATATGTGTCAGAATGGTACCGCTGTTGTATCACTACAATTATGAGTGGAAAGGTGACATTTTTGAAATTTATTTGCTTCTTTGATTCGTTGGTAGAACTAATTCATGCGTCAAAAAACTTCGTCTGTAGCAGTGTAAAACCACACAATAAATTCGTGAATTAATTCATGAAGAACTTCGTCAATTTATTCATCAATAAATTGTCACTGTAAAACAGCTATTACAAATACACCTCTTTCTTTAAAGTGTTCAGTGCGCATTTGTGGGTGGAGCTATCTCAGATGCAAACTTATTTGTGTTAGTCTGCACTTAATACTTGTTGCAATGACAAATTCCCGTGATTTTATAGATTTGTGATTGCATTGTACTTCATGTTAGCCTGATTTTGCTTTCAGATATGTCACTTGGAAGATGGAGCTCACTTTGGGGAGGTTGCATTGATAATAAAAGATACTTTCAGAATTGCAACTGTGATAGCTGTTGAGGTGTCAGAGATATACAGATTAGATCAAAAAGATTTTGTAAAAGCTATAAATCCGTACCCCGACTTATTGGCAAATATACAGCACATAGCTGCTGAAAGGATGGAAGTGGCAACGATGTTAGACGAATATAATAAGAGGGAACTGGCGATGAAAAGATTTAATTTAATAAAATAAAAAAAACCCCGTTGTAATGATAAATAATTTAATTTTGAGTATAAATGTATTTACAAAAAATGCAACATTTAATTAACTATTTTAGTTTTATTTGAAATATTTAAAAACTTCTTGATCACAGAAATGAGAATAAAGTAAACACAATACTTAAAATCCAAATGCTTCTAACTAATATTTACACTTTTAAAGTTATAATTCTTATTTCTGTTAACTTATACGAAGGTATTTTTTTTTTATGGTCAGTCATTTAACTCTATTACATCATTCGAAAATCGCGGAGCTGTGCTCGGCCCTCCTTGGTTCATGTTCATGTTACCAGAAAATGGATTGTTGAAGGTACTGCAAAACATATTTCACCTCAAATAATTTCTAAAAAATATTAATTTGGGGGAGTAAGTCAAATCGATCAAAGTAAACCCTTTGAAATGAGCACTTGAAATTGCTACCTTTACAAATAAACAAAATTTATTAACTACCTGCAGCGCAAAGAAGTCACAACTGACATCTTGTTCACTTTGATATAATAGCATATTTCGATTACTTCTAAAGCCGTCTATATTTTCTTTCCGAAGTTCTTTGAATAAGAGTACATTTATATCGGGTGTTCCAAAATTTACGCAAGACTTGAATTTTGCACCATTTGGGCGGTAAAGTGTTACCAATGAAAAAAATGAAGTGACAGTTGACAGTTCAGGATTATTAAAAATGAAGTGCTACACGAAAAAACAACTCGTTTTCATTGTTGAGTAATATTTTAAAAATAATGAACGTTTAGCTATAGTTCGTAATGTTCATACAAAATATAGTCGGAATAGTGATTTAACTTCATCAACTGAAGAGATTAATTGAAAAATTCAGGGAGACTGGAGCAATTGGTGATTATAAACACTCTGGGCGTCCTTCAACACAAAACATCGAAGCACTTCATGAGTCCAGAAACATCAATTCAGCATCGAGGGCACGAATTGGACATTTCGAGAAACTCTCTACAGTGTATTCTCACGAAAGATTTGCATTTATGAAGATGCATGAGCTTACAAAGTTCAATTTAACTCAAAAACCGAAGCCTACTATCCACAGAGAGCGAGGAGAGGCTCATTTTCATTTTAATGTCTTCGTTAATCAATAAAATTGTCGCATTTAGATTTCAGAAAATCCACGAGTGTTTGTTGAGTAACAAATGCATCCACGTGTCACATGATAATTTTTCTTCGAAAATGCGACTGATCAGGCAACAACAGTTAATGGTGCTCGCTATAATCCAGTTTTTTGTGCCTAAATTGTGAGATATGGATGTAGACGACATGTGGTTTCAACTAGTGATGGTTGAGCTCGGTTCAGCAAATTTTAACAGAAGATTTGGGAATGAAAAGGGTTGCTGCCAAGTTTGTTCCTCGGGTTCTGACTGACAATCAAAGGGAACATTGAGTTGAAATATGTCGTGTTTTGAAACAACAGCTTGAAACTGATCCAGATTTTCTGTCAAAGTCATTACTGGTGATGAGTCATGGTGCTATGGTTACGACCCAGAAACAAAGCAACAGTCAAGCCAATGGAAGACGTCATCGTTACCCCGTCCAAAAGAATTCTAATTTGTTTTTTTGATGCCAACTACGTGTTCATTCAGAGTGTGTTTCACCCAGATCAGACCGTCAAACAAACCTTTCATTTGGAAGTTTTAAGAAGATTGCGCAACAGTGTTTGTCAAAAAAGACCAAATTTGTGGCAGACAGGAGACTGGTTCTTCCACCATGACAATGCACCTGCACACACAGCCATCTCTGTTAGACAGTTTTTGGCTAAAAATGGCATGGTTCCGCTGCCCCACGCATCTTACTCGCCTGACCTGGCTCCGTGCGACTTTTTCTTATTTCCACGCATGAAAAGAGGCATGAAAGAACAGCAATTTGACAACATTAAAGAGATCAAGAAAAAAAAAGAAGGAGGAGCTGTCAGCTATATCTAAAGATGACTACAAAAAATGTTTCGAACAGCGGAAGCACCGGTGGGACAAATGTATTAGTTGTAATGGAGAGAATTTTGAAGGGGATAAGGTTGTTTTGTAAACAATTTGAAAATATATAGCTTTAATTTCGGTTTTTTTTGGGTATCCCCTCGTATATTTCATTTAACTTTTGAGGTCGAGCTTCCTAAACACTCATTTTGTTCGTTACTTCCCGAAACCAAGAGGAAAATTGTAATAAGTTGTCAGATGACATCACAAGTGCAAATCTCGCAGTTTGTGGTAATAGTGGTGAACAGATCTAGTATCAAAAAAATGTGTATACAAATCAAGGACCCTTAAAAAAAGAAGAAAGATCGAGGGTAGTCTAGCCTCCGTATAAATTTGACCCCCGTTCAAAATTACACCCTGTACCATGATTTATATGTACCGAGAAAATTATTGTATCAATTAAAAAGAGTATTAACAAAATTAAAATAAGGAAAATATCAATAAAAGTTAAATATTACTTTCTTAAAAGCATAAACATTAACCTTTAAAAATACAAAGAGAAATGAGGATTTAATTTTATCCCTGCCACGACTTGTCAACTTTAGAAGAAAATGTTTCTGTTACTATTTACTCTTGTATTTGTAATAATAAAAATAAATATATTAAAATATATTCTTACCCTCCTGGCATTCTTCCTAACTGATTAGGATCAACGTATAAATTGCCCATCAGTTTTGCCTGTTGCTGTTGTCTTTGAATCATCCTCATAACTTGTTGCTGATAATACGCCTCTCTCAGCTTCTGAGCTTGCATTTCCTGCATCAACTGTATCTCCTGTTGTACTCTAGCATACATCTAAAGTTTAAAAATCAGAATGGAATATTCATCAGAACGATTAATATTTGAAACACTTACTGTCATGTCACCTTCAGACAACTGGACCTGCAGTTGCTGAACGAGTGCCGGGATAATCCCTTTAATTTGTACGTCCGTCCAAGTGGGGTTGTCTTTCCTCACGATACTTGCTAGGGCAGTTTCTATTGCTTGAGCATTGACCTTAAAGTTAGGGTTTAAACCGGTTCCTGTGTTCTTCCTGAGAACCTTCTCATTTTCAAATTCCTCCCAAGCAGCCTTCCTCTCTTCTTCGTTGAGCCCTTCGTCTGCTTTATTTTCCAACAGGGACTGATGCAAGTGATACTTATAAATTGTCTTCTCGTATTTCTGCAACAACTCACCCAAAAGCACATCTTTGGGCACCATTGGTATGGGTCGATCGGTGGGTTCCAAGTCACATTTGTACAGTTCCTGTAAATCGTTCTGGTTGTAATGCCTGTCGATTTGCTGTTCATCGATGACCCGTTTTGATATAGCCTGTTTGGTAACCTGCCTTTCGTATATCTTCATCTCCATTGTGCCGTATGTAACAAATCTATAAATGTAACAGGGTTTGGTCTGACCGAAACGATACACTCTGTAGATGCTCTGGATATCATGTGACGGATTCCATGAAACGTCGAAAATTATTACTCTGTTAGCTGCCACAAGGTTTATTCCTAAACCGCCAGCCTTCGTGGATATAAGGAACAACCTCGCTCTGATGTTGTTAGGGTTGTTAAACATGTTGCACCAGATTGCCCTGTTGTCGCAACTAGACGTTCCGTCCAAACGAAAGTAGTCTAACCCTATTGACCAAGCGCCTGAATGCCCACCGACTTTTTCGGGAGTACCGTTTTGGGTGGCCTCATCAATTTTCTCGAGGAAATATTCAATGCAATTCAGTGTGTACAAAGACTGAGAGAACACTAACACTTTGTCTCCTATTTCCTCGCATTCTTTAAGGATTTGGAACAACAAAAATAACTTTCCGCTGTTGTTAATATTGTCCAATTCTTTGCCGTCGCAGTACTCTTGGAACCATTCTTTTTTTACAACTTCCAATTCTGGATCACTCTCTTCATTGTTTTCTCTTCCTGAAAAAATTTGTAACAAATGCAAAAACTTTTTGTATTAGTTCAAAAAATACTTTTTTCTATAATCATAAAGTCAATATGTAATTACTTTTTTTGTTCATCATGTGTTATTGATAGCCGTATAAAATTAAAAATTTTCATTAAATAGATAAGATAAGCAACTCTGTAGTTTTACTCTGTGAACTAGATGGCAGTACCAACAATGGCTAATAGTAGCAGATAGTTGTTCAAGTGTAAATCTACAGTACACTGGATTTAATTGAAAGAAAATTCCAACACAATCAGAAAATCATAACCTGAAACTATTTCATCCTATTCCGTTGGAATCTTAGGATTGATTGTATATTTGTTTTTACAGTTACTAAAGGTTGTTCTAAAGTGAAAACCTCAATCTGTAGCATGTACTAGGTATAGAAATCTTAAATTCTAACTTTCTGTATGAAACAGGAAGAAAAAAAAATCGAGGATTTTTTTATAAGGTATGTCAAACAAATTTTGAAATATCCTACTCTAGTAGGAAGTATTTTTTGTTAATTTTAAAGCGAAGTAGGAGGGCCCCTAAGGCCGGTATATGCCGGGGAAACCATCGCTTATTAGAGGAATCTTTAAAGAGCTTAGAGATGCGAAAGACATTCAATTCCTATGAATCTTACATATAAGAGTTTTTTGGATCGCTCATCACGAATCTGGTCTCAGAATCATGAAATTCAAAATGGCGGATCCAATATGGCGGACAAGAAAATTGAAATGTCTTCAAAATGCATGAATTTTTTTGTAATAGGTTTTTTTGGATATATGATTACGAATCTAGAGACTCTAAATCACGAAATTCAAAATGGTGGATTCAATATGGCAGACAAAAAATTTAAATGTCCTTTAAAATGCATGAATTTTTGTGTAGTGGGTTTTTTGGGTCTCTGATTACAAATCTGAAGGCAGAATTACGAAATTTAAAATGACGTATTCCATATGGCGGACAAAAAAATTTAAAAAATCTTCATAATCCTCAAGTATTTGTTTATAAAAACTTTCTTGGATCACTGATTACAATTATGAATTCAGAATCACGAAATTCAAAGTGGCTAATCAAATATGCACAAACATGTATGTATAACTATTGATTTTTTCTTTTTCATTTAATTCAATGTAAATGTGTGTCATGTCATTTAGGGGGGTGGAGGGGGAAGAAGGGTGAGGGCGTTGGTCCGTTTTGGGTGGAAACGATTCAGTATTGCTAGTAAAAAAAAAAATTTTTCAGCCAAAAATAAATTA